TATCTATTGGAGTTTGAGTCTTGTGGGTCCAATTAGGTCCTTTTCTTGATTCTAATAAATGAGTGTGACTTAATTGGTTTACCACAATAAAGTCCAAGAAAATTTGTGCAATTATGAAACTCTAATCGAGTATTGTAAATATGACATTTGTGGGTACATTTCTTAAGTTTTAGGGTTAGACACAATTTCATATTTCCCAAAAGGAAGGCACGTAAGGAGACTAATGAAGAAGATCTAAGGGAGGAGGCACTTGGCTAGGCCATTAAGGGCTCATTCAAAGTTATCATCCCACATTTATGTGTGAAAATTTAAAAAAACATCTAATGATATTTCAAGATGATCTAAGATCCATTATTTACTTGAGTTTAATCTTCCAATGAAAATTAATTTCCTCTTGTGATAATTAAATTCAATAACCAAAAGTTAATTAAAATTCCTGTATGGGCCAAGGCAGTATTAGCCTATTTAAAATACTAGTGGGGTGAACGTGTATTGCACGTTAGATGGTTAATGTTAAAAATAAGTACATAAAAATTTTCGAGAAATTCATTTGTAAACATGAAAAATGTTCATATTAAAACAAAAACACGTGTTATTCTTTAGAGCCTATCATAAATATAAGAAACATTAATTTAGTCAACAGTAAATATTAGGTGACAGTGCAAAACTGTGATTCCATAAAATCTGATGTTGAAGCAAGAAAAGAGAGTTTTACAGATCTTCTAGTTTACAATTCTTCTATGAACTTCGGTTTCTTCAAACTAATAAAAAACTTGGATGATTTGATGCCGACCGATACATAAAGAAACCTCATCGGGAATTATACCATAAGCATGAGCAACTAAATTACAAGAACTTAGTCAAAAGCATAATCAAGGCAAGGAAGACGAAGACTCCCGGTGACGGTGATATCCATATTTTTCCATAGTCAATCAAAACTAACTATACCTTCCTTGAATAAATTCTTCATTTGAGTTTGACAATATTCAAACAAAATCAACAAGATCTAATACATACATCACACACAACTTCTTCGATTGATTTACGGAAGAACATCATGCTAGTTAGGAAGATTTTTCATTAGAGTTTAAAAGTATTGCTCAAGAAATGCACATTAATGCTTGTACAAAGAACGATTGGTTGTAACACATTTCGTCATTTAAATCTAAATTACCCGGTTCTAAGAGTTAGTTGATTTTGCAAACACATCTCTAAATCTGTCATCATCAAACTATCCAAACTTTGCAAGTCGACAAAAAAGCTGAATTGAAAATCCAATCACAAAGGACTGCAGCTCAGGACCTTTGCTGCTAGATAGTCTACAATGTAGTTTCCTTCATAAAAGTATAAAGCAATAAATATAGATAGTAATAAAGAATATAAAATTAAACAAAACACCAATCAGTTAGAAGTACAAGGGATGTGCTCCGAATTATGTAGCATGACCATGCATTGGCAAATTCAATATTACGGATAACAAGAAATCCTCATTAGTGGAGATATGATACTAAATTTACAATCATGTTACGCAAATACAATTCGTTTACCTAAGAAAATCGAAAGCTCTAACACATAAACTTGTGTATACAAAAAAAAAACTTGGTCATAATAAATATAAATAGATATGCATGCGTGCAATGTTAGATGATAAGAACAACTGGTGATTACCAACAAAGTATTTCGCGTGCATCGCTTTACATTGAAAAGTTCATTTCGGTGAATTTATGACTTTGTCTCGACTAACAAGTAACATATCTTCCCTATGCTAAGAGTCTCGTACTTGCAGTTCCCACAGAATATTGGCCTTATCATCAAATACCACCGCTCCCAATTTTACCTTACACGAAAACACAAGGACATATACATATACTATCAAAATATATAGCCAATATCCAACAGAACACAAAGTCAAAAAAAAAAGAACCTAACAAAGTTGCAAAATAAATAGATCCAATTAAATGAATCTCTTAACAACACATTTTTTAGAAATGAGCATCGCTCCCCTATTTTTTTAGAGTAGTACTATTCATCATCACTGGTGCTGAGCACCATTTTATGTGGTAACATACGATAGAAATCAATCTCATGACAATACATTTAATTAGACTTATCATGTAATGGCACATACATGCCACATAAACTGGTTACACTTGTGCTATATAGTATTATTCTTTTTTTTATTACATGTAGCAAATTTTTTAAGGATAAATAATTGAAAATACAACAAGTGGCCTTTTTAGCCCCTTTTTT